TCGCAGCTATCATCACATTTATTGAACACTTCCCAGTTTCGGTATCAACCTTTCGACCGCCTGCTACTAGTCTAAGCTGTGTGCCTTGTCATCATCGGCTGAGGTATGTGGTTTCCCCTATATATACACGTCTTACAAACATTCACTCATAAATACATTAGTACTATTTTACAACAGGTACTAATAAACAATATAGTCATTTGAACAAGTCGGCTGAGTACTATTTTACAACAGTTCCCCCTTTAGTGATCACGCCTAACGGCGTGTTTCCAGTATGGGTTTTACCCCCTATGGGTTATGACAGATGCAACTGTACACACCTGTATAGCAAAGTGAATCAAGATAAGGAAAGGGAGACTAGCTATGCGTATCGTATAAGCGTGGGTATGTGTATCATGACAGGGAAAGAGGAAACAACATGTGAGTTCCCCTCCCCCCCTTCAACAGACAAGGTAAAAGGTAAATGTGGTGCCTCCACCCCTCCCTCCTCTGACCACAACAAAGAGGGCCGCAACGGTCCCACAGAGACATCAAACTGTCCGGCCGAGACCTTAAAAATGGCGCTCTACAAGCTGGGCATGGCCCCAGGTGAACAAGCATGGCTACTATGAGTTGCTATGCAAGAAATGTGAGTGTGAGACACAGGTTCAATGCAAGTGCCTTCCACTGGCTTTATTGCAGCAAGATGCTGAAGGCTCCGTGATGCAAAGGCTGAGAAGGAGTTGGGGGTATATACCGGAGAAGGACACAAATGCAGACCAACTGAAGACCTAGATGTTTCAGACTAGATATATCAGAATTGCAGCCATATGAACTACATGGTATTATTTCCATCTTTGACAATCAACATTTTATTCATATCGTAAGCTGCTACAATTGTGCTACCAGATTCTCCAACCCCTCACAACCCCTTATCCTTCTGCAACAATCTTATCGAGAGGCACAACTGCTAAAAGGTCTTGACAGATTTCTGCAGAATACCTGATGGTATGCCACCAGCAAGCGTGATAGAGGTCGCACCAAAGACGAGTAAGGCGGCTTATTATCAACAGGATGGAGACTCATTGAAGCCAGCCACCAGTCAGTTAGTAATGCATTCATCGCAGTTATTACGCAGAATGGTATATGGCCTGGAAGAGACTATAAATCGTTTGAAATTGGCTTTTATTGAACCTGAACAAGTCGTTGTCGCCTCTCACGACGCGAAATAGCAGGTTTTGCAACAATGGTACAGGAACGCCATGGTAACGTACCCACTCAATCCTCGCTAATCCCACCCGGTCATGCCAGCCTCAGGATCAAAGATCCACGCAGGGACACGGACCATTTTTGTTAAGAGTCTATTCGCGCGACGGCGGGGCCTCTGCGACCGAAGGTATACCGTCCGTCCCAGGGGTCCGTGTCGTGGCCCAACAAAGGCCGAAATGATAGAAAGCTGACCATGTCGATACTATCAATAGCGAATCGGTGGAATGGGCTCTGCGCGGATGGTGGCTAGGTCGACGGCGGAGTCAAGTGCGTCGTCGATCTCGCCGATCAAGACACTTGAGATGTAATTAGTGAGGAAGGAGAAAGACGCGTTTGGACGTACACCATATCGCCTTTTACGAGGTAAAGGCCTAGTGGGACCTCCTCGACGGGTTCATCGGTGCTGTAGACGCGTTCCTTGCAGTCTGCGAGGACTACGTTTGACTTTTGGTCGTAGCCGGCGAGAGTGCCTACGATGGAGCGGCCGTCTTGAAGGATGAGGAGGACGCGACCTGTGTTGTGTGGGATAAGTAATGGAAGTTTAGATGTATGATAAACATACGATCGACGTAACCCTGGAGGCTGGACATGTTGGGAGTCGAGAGGAGGAGTCCGGGGTCCTGTCACAAATATTAATCCCAAGAGGCACGTGTGTCGAGTGTATAATAATAAGGCCAATATTGTAATTTGACCCTACCAACCATGCCGTCTGACACAAAAGCCAACCTCGAGCTCGCCGGGTTCAACGACGACAAAGAGGACAATGACATCCTCCCAGCACCCGCCTCCGCCTCACCAGCACCAAAGCGTCTGACCTCCTCGACCATAATACCCATCTGGATCCTTCTTTCATCCTCTGTCATTATATACAATAACTATCTTTACAATTCCCTCGACTTCCGTTACCCCGTCTTCACCGTCACCTGGCATCTTTCCTTTGCCGCCATTGGCACTCGCGTCCTCCAGCGCACAACCCGTCTCCTCGATGGCACTAAGGACGTCTACATGGACCGCACTCTTTTTCTCACCCGTATCCTACCCATCGGTATCCTATTCTCAGGCAGTCTCGTCCTCAGTAACACCGCGTACCTCTACCTCAGCGTCTCCTACATCCAAATGCTCAAAGTACGTTCAACCGAATAACACTCCCAGCATCAGTAGCCTAACACCCGCAACCAGGCATTCACACCCGTCGCAATCCTCCTCATCTCATGGACCTTCCGTCTCCAAGACCCCAACCGCAAACTCGCCCTTATCGTCCTCATGATATCCTCCGGCGTCGCCCTCGCCTCCCACGGCGAGCTCCGCTTTCACCTCGGCGGCTTCCTTGTCCAGGCTAGCGCCGTCTGCGTGCGTCACCCATTGATAAAATTAATTTCCATTCAAAACTGAAGACCATTCCTCCAGTTCGAAGCATCGCGTCTCGTCCTTATCCAAATACTCCTGCACAATCTCAAGATGGACCCGCTCGTCTCACTCCACTACTACGCGCCTGTTTGCGCTGTAATCAACCTTTGCATCCTTCCATTCACCGAAGGTCAGTTAGCCGTTTCGTCCCTTTTCCCCCCCTCCCACGCCTCGCGCTTTCTTTCCTTCCGCGTTCCTGTGCCTGCCATGCCAACATCTTTTAATTTACCCCGGTGCCTCATGTCCTGACTGACACCGACATCTCATTCCTACAGGCCTCGCCCCCTTCCGCGAACTCCCCTCCATCGGTCCCTTCATCCTCCTCACAAACGCTGCCGTCGCCTTCCTCCTCAACGTCGCTGCCGTCTTCCTCGTCGGCGTCGGCAGCGGACTCGTCCTCACCCTTGCCGGCGTGTTCAAGGTGCGTCCTTTCTTCCTTATCTACCCTCCTTCCTTCTTGACATGTCAATGAATGCTAACTCTATATGTCTGTCGCCCGCAGGACATCCTGCTTATCACAGGTTCCGTGCTTCTGTTCGGTAACCAGATTACCCCGCTACAGGTGTTCGGCTACTCCATCGCGCTCGGTGGGCTCGTCATGTTCAAGACCTCCGGCGGAAAATGATCAACCACCCCTCGCTACTGAGAGCTGACAGACACGCGTTGCATGCACCCATTGCACGCCCACTTCCTTATCTAGAGTCTCCATATCACACAAAAACCCTTAGACACGGACATGGACTCGGACTCGACTCTCTCTCTCTGCTTGCATTTTGCTGTTGCTATCCCCCGCAATGCTAATTTGTATATCTAAAACACCTAGTTTAAATTACTCACCTACGTCACTCTTTTTCCTCTCACCTGTATACCTTACACCGATGATGCCCGCTCCGTTATAACTCACTGTCGATCCTTTCATGGTATCGTACATGTACATAGCTCCCCTTGCACCAGCCACCACGCCACCGCGGCAGATGATCATACATTGATAGTACCATGGTCCATCCATACGCCTCCATTGACATGCCAGGATGCATAGAAGTAGTGGTATGTGGAAACGGAAAACCAAGAGTAGTTTAGCGCCATAACGGTATGCCAATTGCTGTGGAACAGCCTTCAGGGGGCGAAACCGACTTCACACTGACAGCAGGCATAGGTTTCACATCAACATACTTGATACTTTTTTTCGCGCAAGAAATCAGATGTCCAGTCACAAAAAAAAATGGAAGATGCGGCATGCCTCAATCATGGTCTCTGTCAGTCTCGCTACTGGCAAGGAAGAAATTGACGCGCCCAGACCTCCTATACACAATTTTCAAAATGAATGCCCACGCCGAGGATTGAACTCGGGACCCTTGCATTAATGTTAACGCAGGTTATTAGTTAGCCTCATAAGTACAATGCTCTACCCCTGAGCTACACGGGCGATGCATGAAAGGCAATAAAAGAAGGTTATTATCTCTATAGCGAAGGAAAGTGCGCCACAGAGAGCAGCGATTCGTGGCAAAATCAGGGACAGATACAGCGGACAACACAATCCCAACCGCAGCTCTCAGATGTGAGTCTTGTTTCCCTGAGTTTGTCTACAAACTAAACCAGACCCGATGTAGGCGTCTGCATGTAGATTGTGAACTTTAATTTGAGACATAAGAGTGTAAGCCTGCTGTTTCCACTGGCTCCCTGACATTATCTGAATTAATTGGGTAAGAGTTCAACGTTCAACCCCGGGGGTAGGTGAACGACTTGATTCTTCAAGGTTCAGGTGCACATACAACTCTCTCAGAGGAACAGTCGCCCTCTCGCCAGGGGGTCCTCATCACTACCAATTCAACTCAACTGAAACAATAGGAGAGTGTAAACCTGCAATTTACAACAGTTTTCCCCAAACTGCATATATAGAACCAGGTATCTGAATTTATGTACCTTTTGTAGAGCTGTAATAGCCGCCCTTGTCTGGATACAATCTCAATTTCACGACTCAGTCATTTGAGGCGGGTGGCAAAGATTGAACATTAGTCTACGAAAACTATATTGATTACTATATGCCCTATCAAATTTTTGTTACATTCATTCTATACGTTACGATACTCAAAGGCAGGTGTGCCAGGTTCTGAAGTATCGATGATATTCTTAGAGAACCCAGCTTCACCCTCCCTCTGCCTCGCCTCCTCGACGGACAACACCTCCGCGTCTACGAGACCCAGAGACTTCTTCAGGTATGGCAAGATCTCACACAGGACCTGGCTTTCAGAGAAGGGCAGGGTGCGGCGGAACGCAGTCTGGGCACCGAACTGAGTCATGCGTTTCTACAAAGGAATGGTAAGCGACATTGGACACATATATATTAACGGGGAAACAAACCTTGAATGCCTGGACGAAGGGCATAGCGCGTTTATCCTTGATGAGGCCGCGCTCCGTCAACAACGTCTTGACCTTTGCATCATCGACCTTATCAGTCTGCTCATCATACGCCTCCTTCACCGCATCCACACACGTATCCTGCCACTCCGGGAACGTCGTTGCCACATATATCCTGACGCTCTTCGGGAGCTTAGGGTCAAACGCCGCCGCGGGGCCCCCAGGGCCCTTCTTGCCCTTGGCCTTCTGAAGCATCTTGAGGAGAGACACCTCAGCATCGCGGATGGTCTTGATGGTCTCGCGCATGTAGGCCGCGGCCTCGAGCGCGGTTGGGTTGACGGGCTTCTGGGGTGTGGGCCACAGAGCGAGCTGGATGGACTGGGGATTTTTGAGGATCGTAGAGTGGATGTGGTCGGCGAAGTGGGGCGCGATGGGGGTGATGACGAGGGCGGCGGTGGAAATCCAGTAACGCACAAGGTCGGCATGCATACCGACGTCGGAGGTGACCTCGCGGTACCAGTCACGGGCGCTCTGGAACTCGTAGAAGCCGAATTTCATGGCGTCCTTGTAGTTCATTCTAACGCAGGTGATCAGCTGTAGTGTGAGATGGGAGGATGGGGGACGTACAATTCATAGTGGCCTTGGGTGACATTGATGAGCTCGTTGATCTCGTGCTCAAAGACATCGTCGTGGTAGTTGCGGGGTCCAGTACGAAGGGTTGATTCGTCCTTGATGATATCCTAATAGGCTTGTCAGCACCAAGAACCTCTCAAAATTCATGGCAACATACCTCACACCAGCCCAAGAGCGTATGCACCCTCAGAATATTCGCATTAGCCGCCTTCTCCTCAAAGTTGGCATCCTCAAGACCATCACCCGCATCCGCAAGACTCAACCTAGTCGCATCCGCTCCAAACTTCTTGATTCCATCCCTCAGAGTCAAGAAATTACCCAAACTCTTGGACATTTTCTTTCCATTCAGCATCAAGTGTCCATTCGTCCTCATGCTCAAAGGGAATTTGTCCGTAGGGAAGATCGCGGCGTGGTTGTACAGGCAGAACGTGAGATGGTTGGGGACAAGATCCTTTGCGGACGAGCGCACGTCGAAGGGGTAGAAATACGAGTACTCGTGCTTCAGGGCATCGGCCTTTTCACGCGGGACAGGCGAGGAGGAGGGGAAGGGCCCGTCGCAGAAGACGTACTCCCAGATCTCATCCGTCATTTGGTCCGGGGTAATGCCCAGGGGTCCGGGCTTGGAGCCGTCGATGCTGTTCTCTGTGAATGGGTATCAGAATCAGAAGGGAGGAAGAAAGGAATAGAAGTTACCGTGAAGGAGCTGGGAGACGGTGTAGTAGCTCATGTAGATGGTAGAGTCGGAGAGAGACTCGACGAGGAAGTGCGGGTCCCATGGGAGCTTGGATCCAAGACCGTACGTGCGCGCGCAGGCCCACTTGTTAAGCCACGCCAGCGTCTTCTCGAAATGATGACGGGTCTCATCAGTGTACAAGTTCATCTGTGCGAGCAATCTACGCAAGCCAATCAGATGATCGTCCCGAGAACGTCAATCAAAATGATAACGTACTTCTCAACCTGCGCCCTCCAGGCCTCTTCTCCGTAATCCAAATACCACTGATCCATGAGCGCAACAACACACTCATCCGTGCTGCGCGAAACAACCAAGCCCTCCGGCTCCGCATAGGGGAACGCCAAGTTTGCCTCAATCATGCGTTCGCGGACCTTTGGCTTCGCGTCCTGCACGCTCTGGCCCTTGAATTCACCGACGAGCATGGTGCCGTTATAGAATCCCTCCTTGTACGCGATCTCCTTCGCCTCCACGAGCTGTTTGACATCCTTCTGCGACTGGATTTTGAGCGCAGTGAGCAGGGCAGGGGCGCACATCTCGCCGTAGGTGGGCGTGGAGATGACGGGGATGGGGTCGATGGCGGCCCACTCGGGCTCGATCTTGTAAAACGCGGCCTTTTTGCGCACGTCGTAGAGGGTGGCGCAATCGTCGGGCGAGTCGGAGGGGACGGAGGTGACGACACCCGTGCCCTGATAAAAATATTAATGTTGGTGAGATAGGTAGAGTAGGGAGAAGACAAACCTTGGTGGCGAGGACGTTGTCCATGGGGAGGACGTACACCTCGGGGTTGAGGGCAAAGGGTGCGTGGATCTTGGTGCCGAGAAGCTTGTCACCAGTGAGCTCGAGGAGCTGGGAGATTTCACCGCGGGGTGTAGACGTGCCCTGGAATGCCATGTTCCTCGCTGCGCGGTACGTGCACACGAAAGCCTCGGTGTCGTTGATCGCAAACACGCCGTACTTGATCGAGGTGCCAACGAAACAGTTGGTCTGACCGTACATGGTCTCTGGGCGCAGGGTAGCTGCCACCAGGAAGACCTTGCGGCCGCCGACCTTGCCCTCGACCGCCTCCTTCGCAGCAGGGCTCCACTGGAGCACTTCCATTTTAATACCGGTGTACTCTTGCGGGCCGACACCCTCACCATCCTGACGATCGTGGTCCATGCACGGCTGGCCATCCTTGGGACTGTAGATGGTGTAGCGCTCGCCGAACTTGATCTTTCCGAGGGCGTGGAGCTTGTTGACCTGCCAGCGGACGAAGGAGTCAAAGTACGGGTTGGCATCGGTGGTGAGGAAGGTGCGGCGCCAGTCGATACGGGAGCCAAAGGAGTTGTGGTCTTCCTGAATGGATGTGAATATAAATACACTAAATAACATAAGAAGAAACATACGATGGCGATGGGAGGGAAAACGGTCAGCCAGTGATACGGATCGGCGAATTTCTTGATTTCAGCGCGCGAGAAACCGATGGACTCCATGATCTGGAACTGGTAGGTATGACCAGTTGACTTTGCGGCGAGCTTTCCCTTTTTTGCCTTGGACTTGTCAAGGACGGCGACGGCGGCGGCCTCGACCTCTTCCTTCTCGGCTTCGGCAGCAGCCAGCTCAGCAGTGACCTGTTCGTAGCGCTCGAATTCCGGACCAAAGAGCTCCATCTCGCGGATAATTTTGTCAGCAGATGCCTGTGATGGAGTTTAGTTTGAGTGTAAGAGTCGAGTCAGAGGGACGACGCACCTTGATGGGGAGACCAGTGACGTGAAAGCCGTGGGGGAAAAGGACACGTTTGCCGAGCATACGCTGGTATCCTGCGGCGAACTCGATCTTGGAGATTGTGAAGGCATGGCCCAGGTGAAGGCTTCCGTTCATGTAGGGGAAAGGAAAGTTGCCAAACCATTTGGGATGCTGGGCACGGATCTGCTCAGGAGAGAGACCAGCGAGGACTTGGGGTGCAGGGGCATTGACTTCAAAAAGGGACTCGTCGCGCCATCGGGCCTGATATTTTTGCTCAAGCGCCTGGAGATGATCACGCTTGCCAGTCTAAAGCAGAGTGAGCGGGTGAGAGTTGTAATGAGGGACTACATAAGTACCTGAGCAAGTTCTATTGTCTGTGACATGCAGCGGCGGGAAGAGGGAAGGGACTGGGGGAACGATAGTATACAGGTCCTTAAAGGACGGAAACACGCTGAAATAAAAGCGAAAGGCGGTATCGTTGCGAATGTTGATCGATAACTGGTCACGGTCCGCTCAATTTTTGTCGCTCGATCAAAACTCATCTAATCTAATCGCATCTCTACATCCCACTCTCCCTCCAATTCTAACAAGCATCAGAATCACTTATAAATCGACAGTTGCTTTATAGTCAACGGTCTAGCCAGCAACAGTGCAAACTGAGAAACTCAAAAAGTTGGCTCCCATCAAATACTCGTTAGTCACGTGATTCCAAAATTTCTGCTCTTCCTCCCCTTACCAGGCGCCTCTCCATACCCACCTCGTCCTCAATGGCAAAACACGCGCGCAAAAAACAAAAGGTCTCAAAAGAGGTCAAGCCTTTAGGAGATGTAGACGCTCTCACAGATGATGCGCTGAAGGATGATGAGGAGAGGAGACTGGAGAGCATGTTGTTTGGGACAAAATATGTTCCAAGAGGCGATAAGACTGAGACCGCGGAAGACGATGAAAACGAGACAGACGCAGGGCCTGCTTATGGC